CTCTGTTACTGACATGAGTTTTTTAAATTTTTTGTCAACAACTTGAAAGAATATCACAGGTTTAACTTTACCCTGTTGGAGTGTAACTCTTTCCTACATTCTGATACTTTACTTATTTCAATAGTCCCTCTAGTTTCTGAATAAGAGACATTTGAATGTCAAAAATCTGCCCCTGTTTCCCTCCGTTACCACTTGACCAGACCCAAAAGTAAAAAATATCCACTTTAAAATGTTCTTAAGTACAGGCACAGATACAGATATAATGCATATTTAAATACACTACCTTACTACTTATACTTTCCACTACTTTTTAGTTTTACATACATTTCATTCATTCCTTTACTTACCCCTCGACTGTTACTTACTCCATTTGATTGTCAAAACAGTGTCGTACAGAAATCCTGAATAATTGACCAAAGTGGACACCAGATCTGAGCTTGGTGTAACTGAAGCTTTTTTACATTAAAGTGAGCAGAGTTGCGGTGTGGTCTGCTCGTGTTTAATATTTATTCTCACTTGTTGACGTCAAAGCCGGCCCTATAGGAGCCCCAGTCTGAGTCACCTGGAGAGGTCGTGTTTCTCTTGGACCGGAGCTCGTGTCTTTTGGCTGGAGCCCGCGAGAGCCGAGCTGTAGGTCACTGGGTCAACCACACGGGGCCGAGCTTTTAGAAAGGACTTTAAAGTACTTTACTGTAGAAGGGCGAGATACGTGGACAGAATTAGAATATAGAGCGCACTCTCGAATTCTTTTATGCGATCCTGCGTCTTTTATTTATCTTATTTTTATAGTTTTTACCTTTTTATTCGTATTTTTGGTCTTGTTTGATTGCTTTTAGTGCACTTTTAAGACAATAAAACTATGTAACTTTTTGGTTGGGGCTCAGTCACCTGCTTGTTTCTATGGAAATGTTATTGCTCTGCCTGGAATGTTCCACAGTATGACTTTAAACAGCTCTACATAAGGCAGTGCAATTAAATGAATTTTGATCGCAATTTCGATTTGTGTGTCAAACAATCTCCAAACTCTTATACTAATCGAGTTGAAACGATTTATAAAGCTTAACAAAGTTTATTTTGGGACATTTTCTAATATTAATAAGTATATTTATTTATTTGTTTTTTAAATATAGAGATACATTTATGTTTTTCTATGCCTTTTTTCATGTTCAAAGTGTCTTTTATTCATTTTATGTTTTATACATCGATAAAGGTTCATATTTGTACCCTATATTTCATTCAGTTTGAAAGTTTTGCGTGAATTATCAATAACAAAGTGTTTTTTTAAAGAGAGAATAAATGCATCATGTACATAAAAAATAATTGTTTGCATAATCGTGATTTCAATATTGACCAAAATAATCGTGATAATGATTTTTCCCATAATCGAGCAGCCGTATCTCTACTTTACATTTGTTCAAATCACTCAAAATGGCTCAAAAATATCTAGAAAAACAACCATTCTGACTGTGAGCGGGGTCGCTTCTCCACAGATCTGACCTGTAACTTGATCTGGTTTGGTCTCCATGAACATTAAAACGTTAAATACCTTAATGTGAAAAGCAGTTAACAGACCCCCCCACCAGAAAAGTTACACCTTTTTTTTTACCTTTTTATTTATTTGTATTTTTTCTCATTTTTATTTTACTAGTTTTATTTTCTTAACGGGGACTAGTGGAGTTAAAGCTGCACTATGCAACTTTTCCGGTGGAGAAGTCCGCTACCTGCTTGTCTCCATGGATACATTGCGTTGCCTGGAATATTCCATGGCATGACTTTAAGCATTTCATTACGGGTGCTTCTGTTGCTCAAAAATGCAATAATTCCTTCTGCGAATAGGGGCGACTCTCCACAGATCTGACTTGTAATGTAGCGTGGAGCTGTAACCTGCTTGCCTCCCTCGTAATAGACGGATTTAATCTGATATTGCGGAACATTCTAGACAGAGCAATAACATTTCCACGGAGACATAAGGTTGCAGACCTTTACTAGAAATGTTACGCAGTGAACCTTTTTTAAATGGAGCTTTATTTTGTATTCCCATTGTATCGTGCAGCACTTTGGGAACTATTTTGTTTGTGAAATCTGCTAAAAATGTTACAAATAAAGTGGATTTGATTTGATTGAAGAAAAAACGACTTACAAACAGAGCTGATTAATAATAACAATTTCAGAACAAGGCTCTTGATACTTCGCAGCGACATTAAAGACAAACTCGGCCTGATTCGCTTTTAGCTCGTCTGAAAACTACAAAATGGATTTAAACGACTCATTTCCAGGAGCCTGTGATCATTTTTAGCGTTCGTGGTCCCATTGAGGCGTTTGATTTTCAACACAAAAAAAAAAAAGGTGAGAGTGACTGTTGGCGAACGCTAGATTGTGACTGAATTGTTATTTGAGAGGGACTTGTTTAACAGCACAAAAAAAACGCTTCTCCTGTTTCATTTCCAGCCAAGTCAGTTCTTTATTGTCAGATTGTGTTACAGCAAAGGCTCAGGTTAAAGTCCAACTTGTGTAAAAAGCTTCTGACCGAGCAGTGCCTCCGGTTAGCTTCCAGGGAGAGTTCCTGACGTCGGCCGCAAAGTAATATTAGACGTATTTTGTTATTGGCTCGTTTTAACTGTGGATTGGATGGTTAACGGCACTTATAATTTTCATTTTGCCTAAAACCGATGGAGATTTTACGACCGAGACAAAATTGCCACAAGAGAACAATTAGTGAAAAGTGTTTACATTTAGATTGGGGAAAAAAGGGTTACGTGTTGGTGTGTCACGTCCAATCCAATCCACTTTATTTATATTCCACTTTTTTTTTATAAACAAGACAGTTTCCAAAGTGCTGCACACACAAATTAATACGATAAAAGACAGTAAATCGTAAATAAAAAGTGCTAAAATGCATAAAGCTGAAAGATGATTTAAAAAAATGAATCAAATCAAATTTAAAAATGAAATTAAAGAGACCGAGAGTTAAAGTTACATCTCTTACAGAAACAAAACTGTGAAATGAAATGAATAACAAAATTGTGTGGCCAAAATTGGAACGTATATCACAGAAATGATGTTATTGACCGATATGGGCTTTGTTGTGGCCGATATGATACCGATAAAACGGGAGTTGGAGCTGCCAATAGCTATAATATAATTGCCGATATATTTAGTGATGTAAAAATTCATTGTAAATCTTGAATTGTTTCAAAAACTTAGGTTTAGCTCAAGTGGATTTTAAAATTTGGTTTATTTAGGACCAAACCAGACCAAGTTACAGGTCAGATCTGTGGAGAGGCGACCCGCTCACTGTCAGAATGTCTGTTTTTTGGGGGGTAAAACTATGAACAGCTCTACTTTACATTTATAAAACTTTAATGTGATACTGTGGAACATTCTTAGCAGAGCAATGACATATCTGTTTTTAAATCACTCCTAAAAACTCACCTTTTTTTACTTTCTTTTAACAGTGACATGCACATTTCTTGTTGTTGAGTATCTTATCGTTTTTTTTATGTTTTTAGTAGTTAAATTGTGTTTGTGTACAGCACTTTGGCCAGCTGTAAAGTTTTTAAAGTGCTTTAATAAATAAAGTTGGTATATAGAGGCTTTGCACTGTCACGTGACCCCTATAGCAACGGTAACTACGCCGCCATGACACTGGGCACACTATGTCATTGACTTCAGCAGCATCGGAGAAACATGGGCAGATTTTGTTGTGTATTTGGTTGTTCTAGACGCTCTGAAAGGGATAAAATGATTCATTTCTTCACCGTTCCTCTGGAAATTACTCATCAAAAGCTCAAACAAGGGAATTATCGAAATAAAAACGCAGATTATGTCTAGAGAACATAAACCGCGAAGAGTTTTCCTGTGGTACCATCAAGACACACTCACGTCACTTTCATCAAGGTATTTGCTATTTAAATTGTTTCATAGTTTATTTAATGAAAGAAGCACATTTACTGAACTAAAATGTCATTAATTTATCCAGGAAAACCCGCACTAGTTTACGATTCAACGAACCCACACTGGGCTCCTGTGATCAACATGGCGCACGAGTCGAAGAGTCTGTGAGCCGAACCTCGAAAGAATCGACCATGAAAAGATCCTTGTGAACGTTAGAAAGATCCGCTCACAAAAAGAGATTAATTCTAGAAGACATAGTTGTGGATAAGCAAGACAATAAAGAAAACATGGGTCCTACGACGAGTGACATGTTTATATGTGCTGGAAGATACAGTTTCTACTGCCACTCACACTGCAAATGTTTTCTTTTTACATTTTACTTAAATAAATGTGCTTCTTTCATTAAATAAACTATGAAACCATTTAAAGAGCAAATACCTTGATGAAAGTGACGTTAGGGTGTCTTGATGGTACCACAGGAAATCTGTTCGTGGTTTATGTTCTCTAGCCATAAACCATTTTCCCGATAATTCCCTTGTTTGAGCTCCTGATGAGTAATTTCCAGAGGAACAGTGAAGAAACGAATCATTTTATCCCTTTCAGAGCGTCTAGAACAACCAAATACACAACAAAACCTGCCCATGTTTCTCCGATGCTGCTGAAGTCAATGACATATCGTGCCCGGTGTCATGGCGGCGTAGGTACCGTTGCTATAGGGTCACGTGACGGTGCAAAGCCTCTATACATAGAAACAAGAAGAGGTACACAGGAAAACCAGAAAAGTTAAAAAATGGACCTTTAATTTTGGTACATAATAGTGCAATAATTATACTGTATAGTGAAAAAGAAAACAAAAAGAAAACACACATCTTTAATATTTCAACAGAAAGTCAAATGTGGTTCGTAATGACTTGATTCAGCCCTAATTTGTTTTATTTTCTCAGCTGTTTTAGCCTTTATCAGTTCAGCATTTGACTAATATTACAGGAATGAAACAAAAATGACTCTTGTGTATTGAAGAGAAGTTTTGCGTTATTAGTCACCTCTGATTGTTTTTGTTCCTGTTGTAACTTAAATCATATTCATGTTTCTCTTTCTGTCCGCAGCTCCTCCACCGAGATTCAACAGACGAGTGTCAGGTGAGTGCTGCTTTCACCTGAGTCACTTTGACGTCACTAAAACCCCGCTTCACTGAGCCAACAAAAAGATCTGCTTTTAGACCTGGTTCAGTTCTGGTTCAGGTTTTTCCCTGGTTTGCACGTAGGCATTTTTGAGTTGGACTAGTCCTGGTTCATAACTGGTTTAGACTTGGTTTTGACCTGGATTAGTTTTGGTTTTGTGGTAAATTTTCCATTTATACCCAGGAGAATGTATTAGAACAGGGCTAGACCTTATTTAGATCTGATTTAGAATTGGGCTAGACCTGGTTTAGACCTGGGCTAGACCTGGTTTAATCTTGGCTTTGTCTTGGTTTAGTTTAGGTTTATTGCTGGGCTAGACCTGGGCTGGACCTGGGCTGGACCTGGGCTGGACCTGGGATGGACCTGGGATGGACCTGGGATGGACCTGGGATGGACCTGGTTTAATCTTGGCTTTGTCTTGGTTTAGTTTAGGTTTATTGCTGGTTTAGACTTGGGCTAGATCCTGGGCTAGATCCCGGGCTAGATCCCGGGCTAGATCCCGGGCTAGACCTGGTTTAATCTTGGGTTCATCTTGGTTTAGTCTTGGTTTATTGCTGGGCTGGATCTGGGCTGGACCTGTTCTAGTTTAGACTTTGTCTTGATTTATTGCTGGTTTAGACCTGGGCTGGAGCTGGGCTGGACCTGGGCTGGACCTGGGCTGGACCTGGTTTAATCTTGGGTTAATCTTGGTTTAGTCTTGGTTTATTGCTGGGCTGGACCTGGGTGGACTGGGCTGGACCTGGGATGGACTGGGAGGACCTGGAGACCTGGGAGGACCTGGTTTAATCTGGCTTTGTCTTGGTTTAGTTTAGGTTTATTGCTGGCTAGACTTGGGCTGGACCTGGGCTGGACCTGGACCTGGGATGTGGGATGGACCTGGAATCTGGCTTTGTCTTGGTTTAGTTTAGGTTTATTGCTGGTTTAGACTTGGGCTAGCTTCCTGGGCTGGGCTAGACCCTGGGGCTAGACCTGGTTTAATCTTGGGTTCATCTTGGTTTAGTCTTGGTTTATTGCTGGGCTGGATCTGGGGCTGGACCTGTTCTAGTTTAGACTTTGTCTTGGTTTATTGCTGGTTTAGACCTGGGCTGGACCTGGGCTGGACCTGGGCTGGACCTGGGCTGGACTGGACTAGACCTGGACTAGACCTGGACTAGACCTGGACTAGACCTGGACTAGATGTGGTTTAGACCTTTTTTTTGTTTTATATTTATCCAAATCACATAATGTTCCACCTGTTTTAGCTCTAATTTCGAACAGATTTAGACTTGGTTTTATCCAGATAAACTAATCCTTATCTCGATTTGACCTCATTTAGTTTCATTAGACCTGGTTTAGGACTTGTTCAGACCTGGTTTAGAATCCTGCTATCTGCCGTGACCACGTCCTGAGGCAGTAAAAACTAATATAACGCAGCAGTGACGTAGATGGACACGTTTTATAACCTGTAACGAACTGTGGCAAAGGTAATTCCACTCTGAGATTTACAAAACCACCTCCGTGTGTGTTACGACCGGGTTAGGGACTTTTGATTTTGAACTACATTTTTGACATAAAGATGAAGTTGTAGTTCTGCTTTGGGCTCTGTAAAAATGGAAGTTAAAGGTCTTAAATGACACAAAATAGACTCTTGTGGGGTTTAAGCCGTGTTAGAATATTGCGAATGAGACAAAACACAAATCCAGGTCTGTTTGTGATGAGGAAATAACATTATAACTAGGGATGGGCATGATTAGTCGATTAATCGATAATTGATCATTAAGAATTTCATCGATTACGTTCATTTTATTCGACAAACCGAATGTAGGTTGCTGTGCGTAGTGTGACCAAACAGGGTTAGTACGTGTGTCTCTCTGCACTCAGAAGGAGCGAGACACAAACAGTCGGTCAGTCTGCAGCGTACTGAAGTGCAAATGCGAATGATGTGCAACGATGACTTGTACAAGAAAGTCCACGCTTTCCGTTCGGGACAAGTGTGGAGTCCATGTGCACAGTGTATAAAGCAGCACATATGTTTCGGTGTCCAGTGGGAAAAAGTTTTACCAGGTGAGAGTCGCTCAATGTCGATGACGAGTCCCCACCTCCCTCCCCCCGTACGATGTCCTGGTTTTGACAAACGCAAATCTGGTCACACTAACCTGTATTCCACTGAGTCATGTCTTTTAATCCGACAGAAATTGAACCGCATCAGCGACACAAGAGCTGTAGTTTTATCTTCACTTAGTTTATGCAAATTAGCGATGCGGTTTTAAGTTTCGTTTCTGTGAGAGTTGCACAAAACTGAATTAAACACATTATAATGTCAAACGGGCTGATGTGGCTCTAGAGTCGTTACGGTTTATAATGTTGTAAAGTTGAATTTATTTATGCAGATTAGTCGTGCAGATAGTAATAATAATGATGATCATTTTAATATAAAAACGTTAATGATTAATTGATAATCGATCGTTAATTCTTCCGACGATCGATTAAGAAAATTTCACCGAATGCCCATCCCTAATTATAACATCAGAAAACTGTAATTCGGGCTCTTTAAAATCCACATACACGTGCACAGTTGTGATACATGAAACGTCCTTTGATTATGGATTCTGCAATATGGGTTTTGTGATGTACGGCACAACGCGATCACACGGTGTATCTCTTCTGTTCTCTCTGCTCTCTTTGCCCTCTCTCCCTTTTCTCGTCTCGCCTCTTTTCTCTCTCTCTCCTCTCTCCTTCTCAATCTGTCTCTCTCCTCCTTTTTCTCTCGTCTCCGCTCTCTCTCCTCTTCAATCTATTTCTCTCCCCCTTTCTCTCTTGCTCTTCTCCTCTTCATCTCCTCTTTCTCTGTCCTGTGCCACCCCCTCTCTCCTCCCCACTCGCTTCTTTCTCTCCACGATCACCTCTTCTTTCATCCCCTCGTCTTTCAACCCCTCTCCTTTCCTCGTTCCTCGTCCCGTTCTCTCTCCTCTTCATCTCCTCTCTTCTGCCACTCCTCTTTTCCTCTTCGATCTCTCTCCGTCCCCTCTCTGTCCTCTTTTCTCTCTCGCTCATCTCCCCTCTCTCCTTTTCTTTTCTCTCTTCATCTCCTCTGCTCTCCCTCTCCTCTTTCTGCCCTGTGCCACCCCGTCTCTTCTCGTCACTCACCTCTTTCTCTCCTCTATCTCCTCTTCTCATTCCTCATCCCTCTCTCTCCTCTTCAACTCCTCTGCTGTCCCTCTTCTCTCTCCTCTTCCTCCCCTCTCTACTCCTTTGTCTCTCATTCATCTCCCCTCTCCTCTTCAACTCCTCTTCTCTCCCTCTCCTCTTTTTCTGTCCTGTGCCACCCTCTTTCTCCTCACCACTCGCTTCTTTCTCTCCTCGATCACCTCTTCTTTCATCCCCTCGTCTTTCAACCCCTCTCCTTTCCTCGTTCCTCGTCCGTTCTCTCTCTCCCTTCCATCTCCCCTTCATCTCCTCTGCTCCCCCCTCTCTCTCCTCGTCCGCTCCTTCTCTCCTCTTCAATCCACGTCTCTCCCCTCTCTTTCTCCTTCTTTCTCTCTCGTTCATCTCCCCTCTCTTCTCTTCACGTCCTCTGCTCCTTCTCTCCTCTCTCTCTCTCTCTCTCCTCTTCCACTCCTTCTCTTCTTCAGTCTATCCCTTTCCTCTTTCTCCGTCCTGTGCCACCCTCTCTCTCTCCTCACCACTCGCCTTTTTCTCTCCTCTATTTCCAATCTTCCCCCTCTCCCCTCGTCTTTCGACTCGTCTCTTCTCATTCCTCATCCCTTTCTCTCTCCTTCATCTCCTTTGCTCTCCCTAACCCCTCTCTCCTTCTCAATCTGTCTCTCTCCTCCTTTCTCTCTCTCATCTCCTCTCTCCCCTCTTCAATCTGTTTCTCTCCCCTCTCCTCCTTTCTCTCTCGCTCTTCTCCTCTTCATCTCCTCTTCTCCCTCTCCTCTTTCTGTCCTGTGCCACCCTCTTTCTCCTCACCACTCGCCTCTTTCTCTCCTCGATCTCCTCGTCATTTCATCCCCTCTCCTTTCCTCATTCCTCATCCCTCTGCTCTCCCTCTCCTCTCCTCGCCCGCTCCTTCTCTCCTCTTCAATCTGCGTCTCTCCCCTCTCTCCTTCTTTCTCTCTCATTCATCCCTCTCCTCTTTCTGCCCTGTGCCACCCCCCTCTCTCCTCACCACTCATCTTTTTCTCCCATCTCCTCTTCCCTCTCGCCCCTTTCCTTTCACCTACTTCCCCTCTCCTCTTCTCATCCCTCATCCCTCTCTCTCCCCCTTCGTCTCCTCTTCTCCCTGTCCTCTTTCTGCCCCGTGCCACCCCCCTCTCTCCTCACCACTCATCTTTTTCTCCCGTTCCTCCCCTCTCCCCCTTTCCTTTCACCTCTTCCCTCTCCTCTTCTCATTCCTCATCCCTCTCTCTCCCCTTGTCTCCTCTTCTCCCTGTCCTCTTTCAGTCCGTGCCACCCCCTCTCCTCATCGCTCACCTCTTTCTCTCCTGTATCTCCTCCTCCCTCTCTCCCCTCGTCTTTCAACCCCTCTCCTTTCCTCGTGCCTCGTCCCGTTCTCTCTCCTCTTCGTCTCCTCTGCTCCCCCTCTCCTCTCCTCGTCTGCTCCTTCTCTCCTCTTCAATCGACGTCTCTCCTCTCTTTCTCCTTCTTTCCCTCTCCTCCCTCCCCCTTCCTCTCTTCTCTTCACTCCATCTCTCCCCTCTCTCTCTCCTCATTTCTCTCTCATTCATCTCCCCTTTCTTCTCTTCTCCTCTCATCTCCTCTTCCACTCCCTCTCTTCTTCAATCTATCTCTCTCCTCTCTCTGTCCTCTCTCTGTCTTCTCACCACTCGCCTTTTTCTCTCCTATCTCCTCTTCCCTCTCTCCCCCCTCTTTCACTTACCTTCCCCCTCCTCTCCTCTTCTCATTCCTCATCCCTCATCCCTCTCTCTCCCCCTCATCTCCTCTGCTTTGCTTCTTCTCCTCTTCAACTCCTCTGCTCT